CCTGCTTGAATACCTCCAATTTCAGCCACCACAAAGTCCCGCCTCTCTCCTTTCTCCAACACCACAATTCAGAAAAACAGAGAGTAGAAGAATTTCCGTTCGTGAGGGAAGTAACCAAATAAACAAAAAAATACCCTTATCACCAGACTACGATTAGCGTGCATTGCAGCGTGTCGCAACGCCTTACGAACAGAAGCATATGCATCAGAGAATCGTACATATTTTCCAACAAGCGCAATTGTAACTTCTTCTTTAGGAAATTCATACCTGTAAACCAAGTGCATCTCTAGAATTAGTAAAGGAGTAGCAAACCAACACTGAATAAAAAGTAAGAAATCATTAAGAAAAAATTTACAAATTTCACTGTAGTAAAACCAAACTAAAAAGACAAACATTTGAGAAAGGCGAACCCATCCGCTCAGTGGGTTACTAACATGCTTCGGAGGTAGTTTTAGTCGGTCTATAATCATTTGTACTACTTTCTGTTCGTGTAGAAGGATAGGCACATTGTAAATATTTGAAACATCTGATACCCCGATAACCTGAAATAAAGAACACCATTAAGACAAGAACAAAAACACTGATGTTTTAAAGTAAGGAAAAACTAGGCTTCCAAAAAAACGGTTATAAAGCGGAAACAAACACCTGGCTAGGGTCGAGGGTACAAGAGGAACTAATTTTGGTCCGAAGTACATCATTCAACGGCACTTCGCTTCTCAAAAACAAAAGGTCGGGGATCAGCCCTCTTTGCCTCAATTCTCGAATGCTCGTTTGCGTCGGTCTCGTCTTCGGTTCTCCCGTTGATTGAGGGAACATTATCAAGGAAACATGAACTAAACTGACGCATATTACCCTCAAAAGATATAAGCGGACATTTGCCAAAATACAACAAGCAAATACCATTCATAAAGCAGTCCCGAAACGCCATAGTTTGAAATCGCGTGAAAGCTTCAATAAACGCCATGCCTTCAATATCCCCCACGGTCCCTCCTAACTAAAAAAAATCTTAAACTGCATTTCATATAAAAAAAA